CCTCAGTGACTCCATCTTTGCCAGAAGCAAAAGTCCCCTCATTGGGCATAACAGGATGACAGAAGAAGCATAGCACTGTGACTCAGAATTTGGTTTTATATTCAAAACACTTGGGCTAATATGGGTATTGTCATGATCATCATCATTGTCAGCTCACTTTTTCTGGTAGCTCACTATGGTAAATATCCTTTGGCTCACACATGTTTCAGTCTTGTTTAGTACCAATGGTTAACCTCTGTCTTCACTAAGAGGGCCAAAGATACAGAACAGCCTATTTGTATTCCTTGGTAAGTGAAGTGTTTTCCTGATAACGTAAGTGGCAATTGGTGAACCCAGGAAGTTTGGGGAAGATATACATATTAAGCACACACATAGCACCAGGTATAGCTACTAAATGAAACCATTCTTTTCACCTTAAGATCATGAAGCCAGACTGTCAGAAGCCTCATTCTAACGCTTAACTTGTATCAGATAACACAACTTGCATCTACAAATCTACCAAAGTTGTTTTCCTCAAGTTCTACACTTTCTCCCACAGAAACACAAGGGATTAAAAAGCATCTGTGGCTGGTGTATAGGAGAACCATTGTAGGAGATTTAGCTAAAAGTAAACGTTCAGTGGAAATAGAATTATAAAGGTGACTTACTACTTCAAATCTCTTTGGATTTATATTACTTACACTGCTCCATCATTTCTTTCTACTGTGATCTTGGATGCTCCTACTTTGGGTAGAGTTAGGTTGATCACATTGTTGTACCAAAGAAATTTAACCTTCTGCAAATCTCCAACTTCCACATCTGAGTCAAATTCATTGGAAACAGTTTCGTCTGGTTTGAGAGTGCCCCTTGGAAGTTGAGAAGTTAATAAAAACATACATAAATAAACATATAAAAATATACATATATGTTTCTAAAACCAGCTTACATTGCATCTCTGGAAAGATGATTGATAGTACATTTGTTATGCTAATATACTAAATAAATGCAGACGTAAGCTAACTCAGTAGTAGTTCATTGGTCATCAGTAACTCCTGTTACTTTAAAGTCATGCTTACTTTAATAAAACTCCAAACATGTTTTAGTCACAATCCTCCCACAATTTAATAAATGTTGACATCATTATATCATCTTTTCCCAGTTGTTTTGTGGGCAGAATAATTTTTACTGAAGATAAATCAGATGCCACACATCAAGTTCAACATAAGTGGTTTTCTTAGGAAATAGCAGAAAAAATATTTAGAAACAGAATTGTGAAAAGAATTAATGTGCAAGGTTGAAATAATCTCTTCCTTTTACTGATAGGTGGCAGTACTATACTCCCATATGGTAATGAATTAACTCTTATGTCCATAACACACACTATGTGTGAAGTGTTCCAACATTCAAGGAGCTTAGAGTAATATTTCACTCACTTGAAAATGTCATACTGCCTAGAGTTTCCTTTATCTCCAAACAAAGAAACTAGCACGTGTCCTGTGACTTTCTTTCCAGATAGTGTGACGTTCACCTTATACCTCCAACCTGCATGGGGAAAAAAATTGCACAATATCAGCTTGCAGAGAAGAGACACTGAAAACAGACCAACTTGGATTCCACTACTGCTGACTTTTGAATACTTGATATATGCTATTGGTAGTTCTTCTAATCAAGTAGTCACAGACATTCCTTTATCTAAATGTTCAGAGGACAGGCATTGGTGAAGGGGAGGAGCACCGAATCTTTCCAAAGTCAATAGTTTTCAAGCCAAGAGATGAACTAATAAATTTTGCTTTCAATTTTTCAACCTAACCATTTATTCTTGAATGCTGAAAGAACTTTGTGTTAAAAGATAGTGGAAAAGTAGTAAAATGTGACATTTTCAATGGTTTACTTTGTTTTATAGGTCACCACGTTTTAGAGTACTGTCATCTATTTGTCTAAATAGTCTACATTTATTTTAACAATTCTACAACTCAACTTGCCATTGCCATTGGAAATGTATTAATTTATTGTAACCAATGTACGGTATTAGTCAATAGTGAACTACCAGTTTTGCCATTTTGAGCTAGCCTGGGCCATTGGGGAGGGGATAAAACTCGGCCTTAGTTTTTACAATGCAGCGAACCCCATTGACTCCCACCCAAATCGTTTTCTTCCTCAATTACCTAGAAAAGAAACTAGAGTCTGTCCCCATGCCTCACCACGTGTGCATCCTCTAATTCCCATCTCCCATGGAGGCCACAATCCTAAATATCTCGTAAATCTGTCAACTCCTTTCCATTCCCACAAGCTCTGCCATCTCTCTCATGGATTACTTTTCTGCTTTTACAAAACCTCAGAATTTTGCTCAGTGAAACTTTTGACTGAATATGAAGCAGCTGGAGCAGAAGCCTCCTGAATTCAGCACCAGAATCAAATGTGAAGAAACTTCTTTTCGTGTCATTGAGAGTTCAGGCCCAACTCTGTTCTGCCTTCCGAATTAGCCATAGTTTGGCTATGCATTTTCCATGCTGGGGAGGGAGTGTTTAAAATTTTTGCATAGAAAAGCACTTTCACACATTTTTACTGGACATGATAAAATACATAGCATTAAGCATTTAAGGCAAATAAAATAAAGACTTACGGGCAAAATTGCTGGCATCACCGGTGTTTAGATAAAATACCTGGCCCTCTGCACTCGTTCTCCCACGAAATCTATCAGCATAATGCCCCATCTGTGGGCAGCCTTCACTTGGACAGGGGAAGCACTGGTTCTACAGAAAATAAACAAATGATGATTGAGGAGGCTCTTTCTTTTAATAGTGCACTATCTTTTTTCACATCTTGTTGCAATTCAAATATTGTAAAGCCAATTCTGTTCCGATGGTAAAGGGGGACTTTAATAGCGTCTCGGCAAAGGTTAAAAATGGCATGCTGTGGTGGTGTCCCATATAAAGTAGAGGAAGATGGGCACGGAGGTTAGCCCATGGGCTGGTCTTCCTGAGCAAAAAAAGAGGACGATTGGCAGATGTTAGCACAGGGCTGATCTTCCTCACAAAAAAAAAAAAATCCTCACAAAAAAAAAAAAAAAAAAGCCTCTCATGGCCTGGCACAGTGGCATAGCGGTTAAGTTCACTCGCCCTGCTTCAGCAGCCCAGGCTTCACAGGTGTGAACACAGGGCATGGACCGATGCATTGCTCATCAAGCCATGTGTGGCAGCGTCCCATATACAAAATAGAGGAAGATGGGCACAGATGTTAGCTCAGAGCCAATCTCCCTCACACACACAACAACGCATCTCATTATTTGCAATGATAAATCAGCAATTTCTGTTAAATAACACAAGACTACGAAAAATATTATAAAAATCACACCAGAATTTATAATATATTTATATGTGTATTTTCATCTTTTCTGTTTTGCCTCTCTTAAGTTGCCCCAGTTGGCCCAAGACATTCATCTACCTGCAGGTGACTAGAATTTATTTTAGAAAGATTGCAAAAGAAAGAACAGGAGATGATAATCAGCTTCTGATATGCAAAATAGGACCCATTAGGAGGACAATAGGCTCAAAAGCCAGGCTTTTCTCAATTCCTTTAGCTCCCACTTAGAATACCAAGTTCTGAAGGATTCTGATCTCAGAATTCTCCCAGTGTGGAGGGAAATGCCCCAGTTGGCCAGTAAGCTATGGGCTCCTGGATCAATGGACCAAATGGGGATTGGGCCGAGTCTCAGGGTCTGCACCCAGCAAAAGCTAAGGGGTGACTCAGCCTGCCAGGAAGAAACAGCCAAAGCTCTCTGAGGGCATTGCCTGAGGCAGAAGAGTGGACATGCCCAGACAGCACCTACAGACACCTGCCTTGCACCCATCCATCAGGCGGACCCCAAAGTCCTCCCCTCTGCCCGATACACACACTGACCACCATCACCGGGATCACCCGGCCCAATACCAGCTTGGATAGAAAGGCTGAGAAATCTGCAAAACTGAACACTTTTTCTTGTAAAAGTGTCTGAGCATCACCTAAGAGGACTGTTTATATTACTGAATCAGACCAAGTTTTAGTTGAATGAATCCTAAAGCATCTTTGTTCGTTTTCCCCATTACTTAGAGAACAGAGATTTGGAAAGAAGATAAAAATCAAGTTAAACCAAAGAAAGGGGGGTGTTCTTGTTGTATATGCAAGTTGTGCTGTGAATAAAATATGTACCCCTCCTCCTACACACACATAATAGCCAACATTTGTTGAATGCTAATTATTATATTTTAGTTTTGGGGCTAAGCAATTAAAACATGTCATCTCATTAAATCCTCCCACGAAATCTATGAAGTCTACCATTATTATTTGTATTTAGAAATGAAGAAATTGCCTTAGAGAAGTTGAGTATTTTTCCCCAAATCATTCAGCTACTTAATGGTGAACCCAGGATGCGGATCCTCTCTCATCATCACTAACATATACCTCCTGGGTAATTATGACTTCACCTGGCACGTTATTTGAAATCTTATTAAATGACATAGGCTACACATTTTTATTTGGAAAAAAATATAGTGAAAGGAAAAGCAATTTAAAAAACCCAACAGGTGATAGATATATCTTATTTAAGATCACATGTGAGGATCTTAACCTAGATATTTAGAAAATACCAAACAAGATGAAAAATAAAAAATAAAAAATCTTGGCAATTATAGGATTGCACAGAAATATCCACATGCCCATAATTAAATAGTTTTAAAAGATCTTCTTTTAAGACAAGTGTTCCATATTCATCAACATCCTGTAGCTCAGACTTCCATAGACTATTTTTTTACTTAGAACTATTTCAAAATAAGTTCAAATATTTACCTGCTACATGCAGAAGAGATAGAGAACAAGGTAGACAAGGGAGATTTCAGTTTATAAGCCCATTTTCTAAAGTTCTCCAAAGCCTTATCACTATTAGAATAATATGTATAGTTGAGAGTATGAAGAATGTGGCAGTAACATTCACTGAATGCATGACATGTACAGTGAGCCACACCAGTCATGAGAAGCGATGGTAACAAAGGTCTTTAGGAACAGAGTGGAGTCTACTTACTGCAGTGAAATCACTGTAAGAGGCACAAGGGAATCCAGCAAAGCCATCAGGATTGAGAATGCTATCAGCATAATACTTGTAGCTTCTTAAGTGATTACAGGCCGCAAAGTCACGAGTTCCTTTGATCAGACATGATTACACATCAGCGACAGATTTTATTTTTCCAAGTTAATATCATGATCAGAATATAGTTGTTGAATAGATTTTTCTAATTAGTGTGAACTCATGGAGGTCACAGAACAAAATCATTTATGAAGTGAATTTATGATCCCTGGTATAATTAGAAGTTAAATACTATTTAAGATTATAATAGTTTTGCTATAGCTAAATGAAATGAAAAAATAACTTTAGAAGGAAAAGATTGGTCCATGAGATGTAACTTAGTAAGGCCTTCCCTCAATTAGATCTTTGAAAAGTTGACTACAAATACATATTCTTTCCCACAATCTCCTCATGCCCACTTCTCCCAGGGAAAATCCTATATCTTGGGGGTACAATTAAAAAGTCTTTTGTTTAGAAAATGTGAGACCTGTACAATACCAAAATATGTAGCAAGTTTAGCAAAACAAAACACAAACTTTCCCCAAGGAAATCTCTTCAAGCACATAATGGTTTTACCATCCCAGATCCCATCTATATCAACAATCTGAGAGAGAATGTTCTTTTGACATCCGGGCATATCTTCTCCTCCATTTGGAAAGAAATCTAGGTGGCCCACAATTTGGCTCATTCCAAACCCTGAAAATTTTAAAATATGGGAAAGTTGACGTTAATGTATAGACTTGAAACACTAAAACAGTCTAATGTATGAATTCAAAAAACACTTTAGGAGAACGAATTGAGGAACTCACCCAAGTTGGGGATTATGGGGGCAGCGTTTGTGTGAATTACATCCACAAATTGGGCATCGCTGGGGTCCAATCGGACTAATTCGGGTGTGCTCTGAAAGTAAGGTTCAGCTGGATCCAATCCTAAAGTAAATAGGATGTGTCATGTTAATATCGATCAGTGTACCTGCACATTCATCTTTGTTAGTGACAGACCTGAACGCGAGCTTTAGCAGTAATTACGAATTATGCAAGAGAAAGACAAGATAGTTCTTCCCTACCTTGCCATTTTCTGAAGGGAAATCTGTTTCTAATTTACTATTTGCATTGATGTGAATTTTCCTCAAACCATGAAATTGCACTCTATTTATGGATGCTCAGTCACCAGGACAATCACAGTCACTAGCAGTAGTGATAAGGAAAGAGCCAGACTCTGGGAGACACTGGATTCCTAAAAGCTGTTCAGGCTAAAAGAGTTCCCGGTGGAGTGTAAACTCCCCAGAGAGCAAGGACCTTGGTTTTCATGGTCACCAGGACCACAGCTTCACACAGTGCCTGGCTGAGCAGGCTCTCGTAAACATTATGGACTATGAGAAAGAACGTTCTCTCCAGCAAATTAACGCTAGGCCTTCCAGATGTCCTTACCAATCCAAATGTAACCAACTTATCCAAAGCATTACAAAGAGAATTAGGAGGTCGGAGACTGAATGGGAAGATGGAAGAGGAAGGTGGTCATTCTTTGAAATAGTCACCTCTCAGATCCAGGGTAGCAGAGTCTTTCTTATAAAGTTACAGGGTTGTTTTAGGACCTGGTATCCAACATGAGAACCCCATTGGCCAAATGCAACCAGTCTGAAGTTTGTAAAATAATATAATATTTTTTATCTAATTATTAGCATGCAGAACTGGCAGCCCAAGGCAGCGTGACCATCAGCTCCCCACCCCCAACTCTTGGATTGTGGTTGACGAGATTTGGGCTAATTATCAATTGCTATTGAAGCAGAATGTAATTAATTATATATTTTTGAGCTCTTTGGGTTTAATTCTATTTATTATTTATTCTATTATTTATGGTATTTATTCTGTTTTTGAAACTTGTTCTATGTGAATGCCTGACAAAGAGAAATAGGTAGATATGAATAAGGCCTCCAGATGTTCTTAATTCACATTTTAGTCACATGCAATATTTATACATTAAACAGGGCTCGGCAGACCAAAGGCTGATATTAACGAAAAATTCACAAGGCCTCAGAACACACTGATTTCTGATCATGTGGCTCATTTAGGAAGTTGTGAAAACCTGTCTCCTCAGGTAAAAAACAGGGCTGCACCAAATTTTCACCCTTTCAGACACCATATTGGCTACAGTTAGTCCAATTTTGCAGCTTTTACTGTTTTGACCAACCTGTGATCCGTCCAATGGTCCCATTGGTCCTCCTTCCAGCCTCCCCTGCAGCGTGAGCACCCAGGCTATGGCCAATGACATGGACGTTGGAAGGTGAGTAGCTGAATGACGACTGTCAGAGAGAAAACTTCTTCAGAATGTTTTCAAATATTGCAAAATTCAAGATGGGCACAGATGGGGAACCTCTGAAAACTTGAGTTTTAAGAAGACATACTGCCCCCTTCAAAGTAATTGATTTTGATGGATTTTTTTTTCACAGTTATATTAGAAAATAGCAATGAGTTTAACATTTAAACTGGTGGAAGTAGAGCTCTCTTTGGGTGTGTTACTATGTAGCGAGAACCGTGGATGGATATGAGGAATTGTTACCCAGAGATGAGGAAGCAAATATTTGGATGAGAAAATAATAATGGAAGCAATTACTCAAGCACATTCAAATTGAACATTTTCTGTGTTTTTAGTTACCACATCAGGTTAACTTGTTCTCATTGTGCTTCTCTTAAAAAGAAAACAAAAACAAAAAACTAATTTAACCTTGAGGTTGGCATTATCATGTCAAATTGATTTAATAACTCATAAAATTAAAAGACACACTGGGAGAATTCAGTAGGAACAACCTACCTGCTTGCTTCAACAATATCACTTAAAAAAAAAACTAGTTTATTGATCTAAAATATACTTATTGGTAAAGCTTAATTGTATACTTTTTTTGCATTTTTCTTTTCAAACACGTGGACAGCCGCATCTCAGTAGAGAACTGTCTTGACCAGTGATCATACCTACAACGTTACTTTTTTTTTGGAAGAGAATCTCGAGAGTAATGTGCTTGGGCTTTTATACAACCCAGAAGTAGTTACCTGAAGAACTCCAACAAGATATGCCACTTCTGCTCCCACAATCCGGACGTTCTGTGAGGCCTGTGAGTATGCAGTGCGGGAGCCACCCGACCAGTCCACACAGATACAGTTCACACTTTCCACCGTAAACAAGTTCTGGTGGAAGAGACACAATAAATAGGTAAATAATTCAGGATCTTTATGAATTGCTAATGAACATATTTGAGGACTACGATAAATTCCCTCCTTGATCTATACAATATCTCGCTTGCTTTTAAGCCCAAAGCAATGAACAAAAATTTCTAGTCTGTTATGCAGATGATATCCCTTTTTTATTTGTGAGGAAGATTAGCCCTGAGCTAACATCCATTGCCAATCTTTTTCTTTTTGCTGAGGAAGTTTGGCCCTGGGCTAACATCCATGCTCATCTTCCTCTACTTTATATGGCACACCGTCACAGCATAGCCTGATAAGCGGTGCATATGTCCGTGCCTGGGATTTGAACCTGTGAACCCCAGGCCACCAAACTGGAGGTCACAAACTTAATCACTACACCACTGGGCCAGCCCCTGGAATCCCATTTAAAGTTTAACGTTGGCTCCAAATTGGAGATTTGGCCATAGTGGGAACTAGATTCTGGGGATTTCTACTGCAACAGATGCCTAGAAATTTGTTTCAGGGAAAAAATGTATAAAATGTTGTACAATGGCTTGTCTCATTAGACCATAATAAATGTCATGAGACTACATTGCCCTTACTAGAAAGCACCTCAGGACATTGCCTGTCTTGCTCACTACTGTATCCTCAGTGCCTCAAACAATTCCTGACACACAGTAAGTACTCAATGACTATTTACTGAATGAATGAATAGCTGAATAAATGAAAGACTATGTTTGGGCCCCTTAAATAAATATGTTGAAGGTAAGTGAGTAAGCTTTTCCATGATAGAAACCCTAATCAAAGTTTTTGGATGAACATGCATGATTGTACATTACAGATGAGTTATTTCACATAAAAGCATAACCTACCAGATATCCACTAGAGGTCTTGTTTGATGAGGGTCAATGATAGTTTCCTGAATGTTAGATCTGGCAAGAATTTTGTTTGTTTGAGTGTGTGTTTATACATATCCCCACTTTTTTTCCAAAAAGAATTTGAGAAGAATGAAGCAATCTTAGAAATCATCTCCAACTCTTCCATTTTACAGATAGAAAAATCCAAAGACAGGAAACTATTTGCTAATGTCGTGGTTAGCTAAGGATAGTGTCCGAACTGGAATTGAGGACATTTAACCTAGTTTAACCCACTCATTTCTCCAACATAACGCAACAAGGTTGCCAAAGACCAACCAAATGCAAGAGAAACACATCTGCTTTGGGGATCTCAGAAACCAACTGTATATACATATCTAAATTTCTACATTCCTTTTGAGCTAAGAATCACTTATGTTTTTTCTTCCTTGTTGTATAGAAATCTATTACTACCCTCCCTCCAATAATCATCAGCTTTAAATTGTTTTAGAAGACAAGTGATGGTTTTACTGATGATTTCCAAACTTAGCTGTCCATTTTGGCCATCTTCAGGATCAGTGGATGCTCTCTGGAGTTGACTCAATTCAGCCTTTGTTTTGAGTCATAGACAGGTCTGAAACTGAGCGGATGTAGGAGGACCTTTTGTGTCCTTTCTCTTGAGACCTCTGAAGAAATGACTGCACCTTTGTGCCACAGCTGCCCATGGAAGCTCGATGAATACATGAATCAATGATAATGCTCCTCAAGCACTAGCACTTCCTAGGAAAATTTGTTCTTTTTGATTTTTTGTCTTTTAAATCTTCGTTATCACAGGGCACATAGCCAAAGGCAAATTAAAGAAAATAGAATCACTACTGTTGAAACAACAGAAGCCAAAAATGAAAACCTATGTAGTTTCCCTAGATGTTGCTACCACGGGAGATCAAAGAGTAGCAAGTGAAAATCAAAGGAAAATACTTAGTTTGGGCAAAATGAATTATCTTAGCTCTTCACATGGGAATTAAAAGCTACTGAAAAAGTTGAAAA